AGAGAGAGAGAGAGAGAGAGAGAGAGAGAGAGAGAGAGAGAGAGAGATGAATCAATCAATCAATTTAATTATTTTCATTCTCTCCCTGAGTCCCTCCGAGATTAAAAAAAAAGAAAAACTTTCCTCTTCATTTTTCTTTTCCCCCTGGGTCGGGACGGGTTTAGCAGCCCGTCCTTAACCTCAACCCTGGGAGCCCTCCCCCTGGGCCGCCATGTGGCCACGACCGGTCGTGACCAGCCTGGCTATGACCGGGGACCGTTGAGCATGACTTGGACCCCCAGTTGTGGCCGCCCTGGTCCCCGGCCAGGGGATTCGTAGAGGACATGTGTCTGGGAGTGCGATGTACATGAAGCTACTCCACAAATCGGTTGATCCTACCACTTTCCCGCTGAAGGCCAATGCTCGACGTTTGTTAACCCGGGGTTTGTCATTGTTGAAACAAGTCTCCCTCCCTTCTCAGTTCTACTGCCTTCAAATGAGCTTATTGTCATTCCTTGGCCGGTCCTTGTTGTGACGATCTCTTTTCTGTAGGAGCGCCATCTTCTGCGCAGTAGTACTGAAGGGGTTGGTGATAATGAAGGGGTGGAGAAGAAGGGGTCTGGCCCAATTGCACTAATGCCCCCGTTCTCTCTGGAAGACTTGGACCACGACGTTTGATAGGACCACGGCGTTTGATAGGACGCACCATAGCGAGCGTGGAAAATAACGGTTGGCGCATTGTCTTTTTTTTTTTTTAATGGAAATGGGCGGGGAATTTTTGACGCGATTACCACGTGGGGAAGTTTCTTGACTCTTGAATTTCTTTTTGAATTTTGAACCTGCACAGTTTCTCGGAATTTCTTTTGACAATAGTGATTTTAAGTAGGCTAGGAATTCGGGAGCATTGTAATTTTTGGCTGTAACGGCACGGGGCCTCCTACTTGCGTGCGCATTACTGCGTCCTGTTCTAGGTTCTTCTCCCACCGCGCCTAAATTCTAATCACAACTGTAATCTCTTCTTTCTCTTTCTTGGCGAGCGCGTGTGTAACTGTAATCCCCTTCCTTCTTGATCTTATTCTTCGCACAAAACCCTGCACCTCTTTCCTATCTATCTCATTGGCCAAGCAGGTGCATGACTGGATCGATGCGTGGAGAGCGGCTGCGTCCCCCATGCCGTGGCGGCGTGGCCCCCTCATGCACCCGTAGGCACTTTCTCCTTCTCACTCCTCCTGCTTCAACATAATCCGTAATTACCTCACATAGCAGTTACTACCGACTAGCGACTGCTATAAGGCTCGCAAGCGCGACTAATTCGCTCTCTAATCTACACTTGGGAGTTAGCGCGGTCGAGAGGATTGGCTAACTATCGGAGACAAGAAAGGTGAGTAGGGAGTTGGGCGATCCGACGAGCTGGTGCTGGGTATGAGGGGTTGACGTGTGGCCGCGAAGGACTGTGGCACACAGGCCAACCTGGCTTTCATACTCGGACTGAGCGGGATGACAACTCCGGGTTGTTGATGGGTGCGAGGCGACAGACTGCCCGCATCATGGGGACTTTGAGAGAGAGAGAGAGAGAGAGAGAGAGAGAGAGAGAGAGAGAGAGAGAGAGAGAGAGAGAGAGAGAGAGAGAGAGAGAGAGAGAG